GTATTTACATTGTACGGTGTCCTTGAGTGCCATGAAAGGCGCCTTCAAATAAAATGTATTATTATTATTATTATGATTATTAAATAATTAAATAAATTGTCGGCTGCTTACGTCACTGCACCGTGCCGTAGGCTGTCCCGTTTCATAGGCTCTTTCTCATGCAGCCCTCAAAATCCTGAAAACGAAAGTTGACATTATCCCAGGATTCATTGCACCTCAATCATCAAATTTAACAGAAAAAAGGCGGAGTTTGGAAAGTCATCACGGACCAAAGAGTACGTTAGCATCTTAGCTGATGAAATTTATGCTGTGATGTGATACTTAATAACATTTAATTACAAGTACTGATACTGTAGCTTTTAAAAATGTATTTATTTTACTTAAATAGTTTGTACAGATATGCGTACAAGTACAGTACACATTTTGAGCAGCCGTTGGATAACGCTGAACGTGAACAGTGAACGTCATGAGTAAAATTAAACTGAATGTAATATATTAAAAACCTAAATGCAGAGTTACATTAAAAGAAAGTTTTACAATATTTTTATAAATACTATTATAAACTACTGACACTAGAGCTAAACYTAAAATATTAAAGTATAATGTAGTGAAAAGTACCTGTTAAACCTGTTGAAATTCTTATGCATTTTAAGTTTAGTGCATTTAAGGGTGATATGAAATAAAACCACAGTAACAGAGGAGTGCGTGGTCACTCAAACATGGACCGTCTCATTTAGCAGCTGTTTTATGCAGCCTGCCTGGACTACGAGGGGCGTGGCCTCCGTGGTCTACGTGTACCGCAGCCCCTGAACTGAAGCAMTGATGGCGACGTCTCTGTTAAATTTACTGATATGGAGCTAAACTCTTGATSGTTCAGGTTCGACGTTGCAGACAGRCAGTTCCACTCGGTGGCAGCGGCCTGGCAGGCCCGCATGGAGAGTCCGGCTGACGTCAAAGAGCTCATCCCGGAGTTCTTCTACTTCCCAGAAATCCTGCAGAACATGAACGGTGAGTTCTGAGCAGCCTGAACTCGTCCTGTGTGTTTGTGGCGATCTGAAGGTTAATCCTTTGTACGACGTCTTCAGGCTTCGACCTGGGCCGTCTGCAGATCTCTCAGGACCCGGTGACGGACGTGGAGCTGCCTCGCTGGGCCACGTCGAAGGAAGACTTCATCAGGAAACACAGGAAGGCCTTGGTGAGCCCACCAAAACCATCCGGGGTCTTAAAACGAACTGATGGATCTGCTGTTTGAAGCTCYGTCACGATAACAACTCCTCCTTTTTGTTTCTTTAATCAGGAGTCTGACCACGTTTCCAATCACCTCCACGAGTGGATCGACCTGATCTTTGGTTACAAACAGAGAGGAGAAGAAGCCGTGAAAGCTCTGAACGTCTTCTACTACTGCACCTACGAGGGTGAGGAGAAACACTTCCACCCAGGAAAAACATTTTTTTAAAGAGGACGTGAGACAAATCAGCTTTAACCTCCCTCCAAGAAWACATACAGATAAACAAAAGATATGACCTGTGCCTGTAAAATGACTCAAAATGAGCTCAGAAATGTTCGTTTTTATACTAATCGAGATATGCATCAAAATCCTTAAAGAAACATCCAGTGATCTCTGGAAATAAAATAGCAGATAACTGTCCTAATCTACCTTTAATCACAGTTTTTTCAACMGATTTGTTCTCAAAAATAGCCCTTTGTCTTATAATCCTTATAATTTTCTTTGAAAATGACCATTTTTTTCTGCCTATGTTTGGATTGTGAAGCTTGCGCTGCAAAAACTGTCCATCTAACCAAGTTTTAAAACCTTATATCAGACAAAAAGTCTTTTTGATCTTGTTTTCAGACTGATTTACTAAACAATAACTGATTGTGTAAGAATAATCATCTTGTTTTCAGAATGTGTAAGATTATTTGTCTTGTTAGTCTGAAAATTTGACTCAAATTCAGTCAAAAGTTTCTGCCAATGGAGTAAGAAAATTTTACTTGGTAAGATTCTAGAAATAAGAAAAAATTGAGTCAAATCAAGTATTTCAAAATCTTGCCAAGTAAAATTTTTTTACTCCATTGGCAGAAATTTTTTGACTTAATTTGAGTCAAATTTTCAGGCTAACAAGACAAATAATCTTACACATTCTGAAAACAAGATTATTATTCTTACACAATCAGTCCTTGTCTCGATTTACCGGTCGATCTACGTTCCTACCCTCATCTATGGTCATGAGCTTTGGGTCATGACCGAAAGAACGAGGTCCCGGATACAAGCGGCCGAAATGAGTTTCCTCCGCAGGGTGGCTGGRCTCTCCCTTAGAGATAGGGTGAGAAGCTCGGTCATCCGGGAGGGACTCAGAGTAGAGCCGCTGCTCCTCCACGTCGAGAGGAGCCAGTTGAGGTGGGTCGGGCATCTGGTAAGGATGCCTCCTGGACGCCTCCCTGGTGAGGTGTTCCGGGCACGTCCCACCGGGAGGAGGCCCCGAGGAAGACCCAGGACACGCTGGAGGGACTATGTCTCTCGGCTGGCCTGGGAACACCTTGGAGTTCCCCCGGAGGAGCTGGAAGAAGTGGCTGGGGAGAGGGAGGTCTGGGCCTCCCTTCTGAAGCTGCTGCCCCCGCGACCCGACCCCGGATAGGTGGAAGAAAATGGATGGATGGATGGAATCAGTTCTTGTTTAGTAAATCAGTCTCAAAACAAGATCATAAAGACTTTTTGGCTGATATAAGATTTTAAAACTTGGTTAGGTGGACATTTTTTGCCCTTTTCAACCGCGGGGCTGGAAGTCCTGATTTCATCCTTCTGGACCAATAAAAATCAAATTTTCACTCCATCACTTTGGTCAACAAAACAAAACTAATTTGTCACCAGGCTGGATAATAAATCATCAAATTTCTACAAGAGCTGTCGCTGCTTCTCTTCTGATCAGTAAAAACTGACGATGTTTCATCCTGACTTTGTGTCATTAAACTTGTAGAGTTATAATACAGACTCAGTAAGTTTAATAATTTATTAAAGTGCCTGTGACGTGTGTATCCTTCAAATACAGAAAATCAAAGAAAACAACTTTATATTTAAGAAACTTTGCATAATACACAGGATTTTACTAATTTTGCCACATAAATCGCATATTTTCTTTTGAACTTTTGAACAGCTAAAGTGAAACAGGAAGTGACATCAGAGGGGATCTCTTTAAGAAAGAAAACTCTGGTCTTTATTAAAACAATATTTAAACTTTAACTGTTCTTCATCTCTCTCATAGAGACTGAATAATCTAAAGAAACATCAGATTTATCTCTACAGTCTGTGTTAGCTGTTGTAGCAACGCTCTCTTCACATGCAGACATTCCCCTTTGACATCACTTCCTGTTTCTTCACATGCAAATATCTCAACAACTGTTCATCTCAGCCGTGTGAAATTAGTTTTGCAATATGTTTTTAATGTTMTCTTTCCAAAAAAATGCGTTCATATTTATTACAAAAATTTGATGTCACAGGCACTTTAACYGTTTTATGTTTTATCAAAATGCTGCGCTCATTTTGCTGTATACGTGTGATTTCCTGGTTCTCAGTATAGTAAACATACCAGAAAATSATTTCCTGTGACAGGAAGTATAATGTATGTCGATGTTTACACACTGATTCCTGGGACTTTTCCGCAGGTGCCGTAGATCTGGACGCAATCGCCAACGAGAACGAGCGGAAAGCTTTGGAAGGCATCATCAGCAACTTTGGTCAGACGCCCTGTCAGCTGCTGAAGGTACAATCAGACCAAAACAACACCTGGACAAACAGCGAGAATCCACTGTTTGGATTTGTTGTTATTATTATTATTTTGTTTTTATTTTTCTGAGAAATCTGTAAAACGTGGAGATATGRCACAAAGTTATGTCGAACTAACACTATCTGACTCAGACTTTGTAAAGCCTTTTTTGGTAACACTTTATAATAACTATACCTTATTTAGCCTTAATTAATCTTTAATAAAGGGTTACTTAACCTTGAAAACATCATTAATTAAGGATGATTCAGACTTAATAAACTGCAGGTTAGTAGATAAGTCAATTCAAACATTCTCTAACCATTAACGTCTAACACATGGTGTGAAAATACATTAATATGAGCATACACACAGTATATAGGATAGTTAACTCATAAGTTATTAAGCATTAGTAAACAATGAATATGTTGGTTTAAGAAGTAATTAGCCTTTATGGGTAAAACATTAATAAATGTGTTAATTCATAGCTTATTAAATCTGAATCATACTTTAGGTGAAGTAACCCTTTATTAATGATTAATTAAGTGTAGTTATTATAAAGTGTTACCCATTCCTTTAATAAAAACATGTTTCAACAATGGYAGTTTTTAAACTAAGAATAGAAAAACTTGAGTTTAAATTGGGGCTGTTCTGAATGGGATGTAAAAGTTTTAAGCAAATGCATAAACATCAGGGCAGGAAACACACTGACATGTTTGAGCAGCTAATGTTTGAGACTAAACTTTAAAAAAAGATCTGACTAAAATTAAGAATTTAATTACCGATCTTGTATTTATTTATTTATTTATTTTATTCTATCGTCATTTGTTTGTTTTTTCCTTAGCAGTGTAGCCCATGTTCTGTGTCGTATTTTCTTTCTATAAGTTCTTAAATGTTGAGAATGGAGAAAAATGGCATTGGTCCGTGAGGTGATGTAAATAGTTTCTTTTAATGTTCTCATTGTTTAAAACAATMTGAAAAAAGTAAGATTTTTTTAAATGTAAACGATCAAAACAGAAGAAGACGAGGTGACAGTGGTCTAAAGCAAAGCTGGGTGATCAAAGTGAGGCAAGGCTGGAGATAAGATCAGATCTGGGTTTTGGACAACAAAGATCATTTACTCAAACAGAAAAAAAATAATATAATTATAACGTATTTGTGGAAATTCCTGTCATTTGTTTTTAACATCCTTTAAAACRGGTTTCATATATGGGGTGGTAATTTAAAGCTGCATTTTTCCACCTCATCGTTCTGAGTCTGGATGTATAAAACTGTTTTAATCCCACAAACAGGAGCCTCACCCCACCCGCATGACGGCCCAGAACGCCTCCCGGCGACAGTCCCGCCTCGACAACCTGCCTGCAAACATCTTCGAGCATCTCAAYAAACTCCGGCCGTTCGTGGAGGTAAAACGTTTTTCTCGTCTCCGTCCTCCGGGGCGCTCGCTTCGTCCTTTTGACACCTGTTCTGGGTTTGTTCAGGTGGTAAGCGATGGATTTCCTCTCGTCCAAGCGGTGGTACCAAAGAGCCAGAATCACTCCTTCATCATGCAGGGCTCCGACACCCTGGTGAGGTTTGAACTAACCCGTGTGAAGAGAAGCAGCTGGAACAGTGGAGGTTTATCATGGTTCTCGTTTAAAGGTGACGGTGAGCTCCAATGGTTTGATCGGAACCCACAGCTGGTTGCCGTATGACAAAAACATCACCAACTACTTCACCTTCACTAAAGATCCAACGCTGACCAACGCCAAGTGAGTTTGTTCTGGAAAACCTAAAGAATGAATAAAAACATTCAAGCTCTCACTCAGATATGAATCTTCACATTTAGATCAAATTGTACATTATTGTACCTCATTTGACTTAATGCATCGAAGTTTGGGGAAAAGCATTTAGAACRTTTACATATCCCATTTTTGTTCTGCAAAAAAAGAGCCGTGAGAATTTTGACAGGAAAGCGTTGTTGTCATCCATCTAATGTAGGGCTGCAACCGTGCAGAAAACTCACGATTCGGTTCAGTTCGATACTTTCGTCTCAATGTTCGATATTTGTTTTCGATACAAAAAAGAGAAATGCCCATGCCCTTTTTAACTTGTAATTTATTGAAATTAATTATTAACATTTGTTTAACCTCAAAAGTTCAGTTTTTAAATTAAATGTTGCTGAAACATCAAGTTCATCAGTGGATCTGCGCTCGACAATGCAGCCTAGGTGGAGTAGTCGAACACAGATCCACTGATCCTTCAACACAGAGCATCTTCAGAAGACAAGTTGATAAAATAAATTTTAAAAACCTGTATTGTTCGATACAAGTGTGTGTTGAACCTAATGGTGCGTTCACACCGAACGCGATTTCAGCATCAGGATCATCAGGTTTACATACAAAGTCTATGGTGGACACGCGTCAAGCAATGTCGGGAAGTTCTGCGGCGCCTCAAGCGCGATTAGAGCAGCGTGATTTGAACGATTTGAACGATCTGAGCGTTCGACGCGCCGAGGCGCAAATCGCTGAAGTTAGAAAATCTGAACTTTTGCAGCTCGACGCGCCGCGTCAACCAATCAGAGAGACTCCACTATGTGACGTAGAGACATATTTCCCGACGGGACAGTTTACTGAATGATGTCCACTAACCTGAAACAGATGGAGAGGAGCTCTTTAGCTGAAAGGAGTGCCTGCAGTCGGTGTCCTGA